GCTTGAGAGAACCTGGCTAAAAGAAACTCAGAAAACGCAGTGTTAGGAGCCAAGAACACCCGCCGCCACAATAATCTGGACGCTCGATTGGCAAGAGCCATTATTCGTCCTGTGAAGACTGGACTGGACTGGACCTGGTCTTTAAATGCACTAGTTGCATCATTTAATCCGTTTAAAGGTCGTTGCACGCTTTCAAATTTTGATTTCTTTGAAAGTTCGCACCATGCCAGGTGATCAAAAACTTCTGCGAGCCTTTTCGGGCATTGACAAGATTTATGTCATCAAGAGAGGTAATTTTATTTGCAGAAATCGCTTGATGTCCATTAGATGGATCGACGGAAGGTGTTCATGTGGAGAAGATCATGAAGCGCATACGTGCTCTCTGTTATGGCCTTAATGAGTCCTACATCGATGTGGTGAGTTTTCGAATGAACGTTTGTCTGATCCAAAATCAACTTTAATATACAACCAGTGTTCTGTATCCGCTATCTCGCCAGTTATGTCTTTGACCCTCCTTGATTCAGCCACCTCGTCGGAACTACGTACATTGGGACCCGTCCAGTTTGCTTAGTGGACATTGCTTGATGTTGATATGTATAATTAAGGCATAGCATAGAATCCACTGGCGAGAAAGAGCTTAAGGGGATAGATCATGGTTGAAATACATCAATTTAACTAGATGTAATGCGTCTCGGGATCAAAGGGTCTATAACAGTGGATTAATTGAAAAACTACACCGTTACTGCCAAACTTTTTTCGACCGTCATCAGGCATCCTCCAAATGTGCCAAAAAGGAAGCCCAAGTAATATTCATGCTACATGGTATACCCAAGAATCAGCCGAGTAACAATAGTCAGAAGGAACGCACAACTTTCTCAGGCATCTAACAGAGAAGTGGGGGTGGGGTGAGGGTGACCAATAAAACATCACCCAAGTACTGACGAACGTGATTAAATTCGTGCTCGGAAGTTTCGGAGAGCACTAGCAAATGCTTAAAATATCACAATTTGTCATGTAAGGTGCTTTTAATGGGCAGGTCACATTGATTGGCTATATTCCATAACCAGTCTTTTGTGACTACGGCGAAACCGTCTTTCCCGATTTACCTTGTCGTTCAACAGGAGGCGGTCACTCGCCGCGTTGTCGCCGGTCTTTATCCAGGGGTCACGACGGCGGAACTGGATAACTTGGCAGCAGAAATATGTGCCACCATGACTACGAGGCACTACGATTACGAGACTTTGGCAGCCCGTCTCGCTATATCCAATCTACACAAGAAGACAAAGTCCAAATTTTCAGAAGTAATGGAAGACCTTTACCAATATATTCATCCACGAACCAAACGGCATTCACCGCTTATTGCCGAGAGAGTTATCGAGATCATCCGGAAAAACGCAGAACGATTGGACAGTGCAATCGACTATCAACGGGATTTCAACTACAACTATTTCGGGTTTCGAGTAAGTGGTCGTCATCCTTGTGCTTATTTTCTATGTTTCGAACATACTGAGTACGTACCATTCATTATTCCAGACATTGGAGCGGTCATACCTTCTAAAAATTAAGAATGAAGTGTACGAACGTCCTCAACATATGGTAATGCGCGTGTCAATTGGGATTCATATGGACGATATCGATGGAGCAATCGAAACCTACAACCTTATGTCCGAAAAGTGGTTCACACACGCCTCCCCGACGTTGTTCAATGCCGGAACACCTAAACCGCAGCTGTCCAGCTGTTTCTTGTTGACGATGAAGGAAGATAGTATCGAAGGTATTTACGATACATTGAAGCAATGCGCCGTCATTTCGAAAAATGCTGGGGGTGTTGGTTTGAATGTTCATTGTATTCGAAGCCTGGGAACCTACATTGCTGGTACCAATGGTGAATCGAATGGGATCAGTGAGTTCATT